GAATTTTGTACAGCCCCTATTCTGACAATTCTTGGAGGTCTAAGTTGCTCCTAAGCAGCTGGGATCTTGTAGCCAACAATGTCGAAATCATTTTTCAGTGCAATTGATTTCGCAGCATCAGGGATTTACAAGTCAAAGGTTTTGTTTCCATAGAGAATCCTCCTGACCTCATCCAACTCCTACTCTGGCAAGAATTCCTTTAGAGTTTCTTCAAGACTGTTCAATTCATTGGTATACTTAGCTGACCATACTTTCTGGGTTTATGATTTGAAGGTTTATTATGTTTATGATGATGCATGCTTCAGTTAGTTTTACAATTATGTTACTTTATCTTGATAAATTTCAATTTTAGAATTGAGCTCTTTAACAGAATCTTCTAATGATTTTTAAGAAGGTTTATTTCCACTTCTATCAACAGGAGTTTCTCTTAGTCTTCTTTGAGCATCAAGTGCTGGTATTTTCTCATATGCATATCCATAAGCTTCTCTAGGTACATATTATCCAGATCCTGGTTGTGACTTAACAACACCATCTTCAAATACGACTCTTCCTCCAACAAGGGTAGTTTCTGTTAGGCCTTTAACTTTCATTCCTTCGAAAATATTAAAATCCCCTGCGTGATGGTGGGTATGAGCACTAATTGTTTTGGTCGCCTCGGTATCGAATATAATTATATCAGCATCACTTCCCGATTGAATTATTCCTTTTCTAGGATACATGTTGAAGATTTTAGCAGTGTTAGTTGAAGTAACTCTAACAAAATCAGATGGGGTTAAGACTCCCTTCTCGACTCCATTATTCCAAATGACAGACATTCTATCCTCAATGCCATTACAGCCGTTAGGTATTTTATTGAAGCAGGAATGACCCATTCTTTTCTGTTATTTGCTGAAAGTGCAATTATCTGTTGCTGTAGTGTCAAGATCATGAGTGGCCAATAGTCTCATTTCATATTCTTTGGTTTTTGGATCTTCATCAATGCATGGCGACATTACAAATCCAGCAGCTTTATCCCAGTCCTCATCCCAATAATTTCTGCCATCTACTCCTAGTCCTGCAGCAAGGGCCTCAGCATAAACCACAAATCCTTTTCTCTTGGCTCTTATAATTTCATCGGCAGCTGCTCTCTTCATTACATGAACTACATATAAGGGAACATTGATAGTATTAGCGATTGTGATCACTCTGTGAGTAGCCTCAGCTTCAATTTCATCGCTTCTTGAAAGTGGATGGCCCTCAGGTCCTGTTACTCCTTACTTCACTAATCTATTTTAATTGAACTCTATAAGCTCTCCATTTTCAGCATGAACCATAATTACTGCTCCTAACTCTTTACATCTCTGGAAGATTTAGAGCATTCTCTCATCATTTTGATAGAATGAAGTACCTTTGTAGGCTGTAAATAACTTGAAACTAGAGATACCTCTTTTAACGATCTCTTCCATTTCTTTTGATATTTTCTCATTCCAATCAGTTATAGCGCAATGAAGGGTGTAATCGCAATGAACTTTTTTATCAGCTCTTTATCTCCAATCATCATACCCTGCTACTAAACCTTTTGAATCAGGGATAATGAAATCAATAAAAGATGTGGTTCCTCCAGCAACAGCAGCCTTAGTACCGATATCAAAGTCATCTACAGCTGTGGTCCCCATAAATGGCAATTCAAGATGGCAGTGAGGATCAATACCACCAGGCATTACTAACTTTCCTGTAGCATCTATAATCTTCTCGAAGTTTCTTGCTGTTTATATTTTATCATCAGGCCTCACCACCTCTGAGATCTTGCCATTTTCAATAATAACATCAGCTCTGAATTTATGATCTGCGTTAACGACTGTCCCACCTTTAATTAGAATGGAGCTAAATGCTTTTTGGAGATGAGTATTAAATCCTGAAGAGAGAGAATTCTTAAGTTAATTTGGTTAGAAGTGTCTTTAAAGTCTGAGAAGTTTTTGCATTTCAAATCTTTTTTGTTAATCTAGATACAATTAAATTAAAATATCTTATACTTTGAGAGTTAATCTACCATTAAGAAATCTTAATCACTAATAAATCATATTATATTCTTTTGTCTTAAACCTTCCTCTATTGATTTCTGAATTTTCAAGATTTCAATGTTAAGGGGTTTTGGGGTTTTGGGGTTTTGGGG